TCGCAGTAAATTTTCCAATTTAAGCAATTGGAAAGAAGAAGCCTGAAAAAAAATCAGGGTTTCAACGGGAAGCTACTACAGATACTACAGATACTACAAATACGACAGATACTACAGTTGCTATAGCTACTAAAGCTATTATAACAGTGCTATAGGTATATCAGTGCTATAGCCAATAGGCGACACTACCAGTTAACGTGTGGGTGTATCTCGGGACATAATAGTGAAGTCTTACACCAAGTACTAAAACAACATAAGCAGTCGATAGCCGAGGAGAGAAAGCAGTCGATAACCGAGGAGAGATTTTAAACAATGGCGGAAGGTTTTGGCGAGCTTCAGTCATCAGAAGAGAGTGAAGAAGGTAAGGAACGATTTGAGTTGTTATTGTATCGTTTCATGTTCATCAGGAAACAAGATTTTTCTCACAACATTCTTTGCAGTGTGCGTTGCAAGCGTGGTCCAAGTAAAATCGGATGAAGAACAACATTTGCTACGCCAGGTAAACTTAGCTTAAGGCTAAGTTTAAGATTGTTGCATGGAAGTTTTAAAACATCGGGCAAGTTAGGCCTTATCACGGTTTTCGACGCCATCTTGATGGGTATACCCGTCAAGATGGCGTCGGAAATCGTGATAAGACCTACGTTGACAGTCTTCTTGCTAGTTCACAGTGCGTATCTCACGATAGGAATGGAACTGAAAGCTACTTGATTAATCGTTAAGTTTAGAGCATACTCAGGTGGATAAGGTACAGCTGAACTCCGCTAGTTCGAATTCTTAGGGGAAACGAGAAATGGCTCGCAATAAAGAGAGTTCGAAATAGCCGATAGTAGATGGGTTCGAAATAACGGGGAATTCGAAATAGCCGAGTTCGAGTTAGGTTTTCATTCATGGGAACCAGGTTTATTATCCGCGGGCATGTTACAATTATAATTTTAATTTGATAACAAATAAAATGTATGTATGTACGTATGTACGTATGTATGTATGTATATTATAAGTAGCTTTCTGGATATTTCAAGTTTTACCATGGCTTTAAAAATAATTAAGCTTATAGTGTATAACCAGTATTGCAGTCCTGGTCTTCATATTTGTGAATTTTGACAAATCTTTTCAAGGATCTAATTGCCAAGCTCTTTCTAAGATTCTCAGCCATGTGCAAAGTGACTTTAAGCGCCGTTTTACACTCATAGGAATTTGAATTTGAATTTACACAGGAGGGTCCAATAACAACAGGACGTGACACTGGCACAGACACCAAGCAGTTACAATATACCATTGAGAATCTGACTCCTTTACATGGGGGACATGAACATGGCAGTCTTGTGCACACAGTTTATTCAACCAGCAGCCCTGTATCAGATGAGAATTATAACAGAAAGCTTCTTGTTCCAAAATGTGATGATGATTTGGTTGAACATGTAGCCGCATCCTCCCATCGTTCATACCAGGAAGTAATAGATGGTCTGCAGAAGAAGTTGCAATACTATGAGGCAAAGATACGGCAGCTTGAATTAGAGTTAGGAAGAATATCATTCCTTGAGGATAAACAGAAGCGCAATGAGAAAGCTTATGGTCAGTCATCCAGAACACTTGCTAGTGCCAAAAGTAAGTCTTGTACAGGCAGTGGTGGCAGCTGGTTTATTAACATTTTCAGCAGGAAGGCAATTGGTTTTCACAGGCAGGCAGAACTTTTTGACCAGCCCAGAACTTCTTTATATCAAAAATTTCCTCCAGGCCTGAGTTGTCCAAAAGATAGATAACGCTATCCACTGGATAAATCACTATCCAGTGGGTAGCATGGTTTGTTTTAATAACACCTATAGCCTTCAAACAACTGAGGCCAGATGGTCAGACCAGGCATGCAAAATTGGCCTTACAGCTGCTCAATTTCACCAGTACCCAGCCCATTATGAAACCCATGTATGGTTTTACTATTATAGAAGGAAACTGCTCCATGGGGAGGGTCCTGCATAAGAACCCTATAGGCTAAACCTAATTTTAATGCCTTTATTTCTGTCATTTTGTTATATTCAACCTGCTTACAAAACAAATTATTTCATCTTAATCAGTTCTATGTCTTGATTATGGATATGTAAATAACACACTAGTCATGCTGTAAGCAATTAATCACGTGTATCAACATTAATTTTTACAAGCAAAATCATGTATACAGTGTAGTTTACTGTATAGTAGATTGGCCCCCTGTATAGCTGCTTACATGCACATACAAGCAAAACGTAAATAAATATCTTACAAATCACTTCTGCATTTCTACAAACATGCAGTAACATTACATAAATTATTCGTAAGGTTTATATGGTTTTGTAAGTTTTCATGTATGTCTGGTAATTTATGCTTACTTCTCTTGGTCAGGTTTTTCACTACAACAAAGACTATTGGAAATCTCAAACTCCTTGTCAGATGTTGAGGTGAGGCAGATGAAGTTCTTGGCCAAACCCAGAGTGAATGGTTTTCGACTTGCCAAAATCAGAGAAGGTTTTGAGCTGTTTGAAGAACTGGATGCCAGTGGAGTATTGTCTTGTACCTATGTAAYAGACCTACTCAGAGGAATTCAACGTTTTGATCTTCTGGAGAAACTTGATATCCCTTTACTTGGCAATGCAGAAAGAGGTAAGAGGAACTGTTTTAGCTATTAAGGTACTTGAATTCATTTCAGATCATGATGAACTACCCTGTTTCAACGTACAAAATACTTAAAGTTTATCTCCTAAAAAAAGCTGAGCTGCACTCTGATGAAACAAACATCTTCCAGCTCCAATATAACTGTGCCCTTAAAATGCATTATCATAAGTATTCTGGCATTGTTATTTGAATAATATATAGTGAGGACTAGTTTGCATGAGTGCTTTTGTGGATGCCCTATGCTCATCATAGAAGCCACAGGGCAAGAGAGAGAGCTTACATGCTTATTTCCAGACACTCTGAGTAAGTTCTGGTTAATTGTACATTTATGCCAAATCTCATCCAAACCCTGTTTAGGGCACAAAGACTTGTGTGGAATTAAAAAAATACATGTAGTTTCTTGTCCTGTAAATTATCTGATTTGACTGAAGACCTGCTTAATGTCAGGACACATCTCTGATCTTGTATTTCTGACTCCTGTATAAACTATTTTAACTGACAGCAAATGTTTAATCGTGCAAAGGGCCAGTTATTACCCTGTTTACAACTACACTGTAGGCCAGTTTACCTAAAATTATATAGATACTCTGTTCAGGGTGGCAAGGCCAAAACCCATACGCTGTTTGGTGTGATTCCCTGTGTAGGCCATGTAAGGGAGCACCTACCCCCTCCCTTCCACCCTCCACCCTCCCCCTTCCCCCCTCCTCGGGCATATTCCACAGAATGCCACCTAAATTTCAACTAAACAAGTCATCTAAACAGTTTTCTGAACAACTCAAAAATGGGGATTATTTCCAATCAAAGTGACTTGAAGCACTTTATCAACAACAGGAGGACATTAAATGCCTAATGGCTTCGATCTGAAAACAAAATCTTGGGTTGTGTTTTCATAGTATGCAGGACAAAACTGTTCTGGATTGACATTTTACAACAAAAAATTAAAAACAACAAAGCGATACAAATAATTTTGTGATTGTCTTAAACTTTGCTAAATTCCGCACATGGAAATTTATTGTTATATGGATCACGTAAGAAAGGCTTGTCCAAATTTGGTAACTTAGTCATAAAAGTATGCAAAATCACATGTCTTCTGAGAAAAATGAGTCACATTTGGAGTGTGGTTTTGTGAAGAAACTCTTTATGTGCTGGTGGTTTTGTTTTGTCAATATTATTACAAGAAAAGAGAGAAAGACTTACAACTTATTTGGCCACTGAAATACATGCTGTTTTCATAAAGTGATCTTCTTTGAAGTCTTTAAACTGTTCTTGTGACAAGATCAGTTTTCTGCCTGTTTTGAAGATGGCTGTCTTTAATTACATCCTGCCTCATACAAGCCACAATTGCACAAGATACTGTTGTGTTAAAGTGTTGTTAGCCAAGAACATCAGGCACTGCTATTTGTGCTTTTAGGAAAGTTTACGGACCTATTTCTGGGTTCATCTACCAGAAGCTTCCCATTTTCTCGCATTTTCTTGCATAGCAGCTTGAAATAACTATGTTTGGTTTGCCTTGTGGCCCTTCAGTGGTAGCATCACAACTTGAATCTTTGATTCTCTAAACCACTGATGTATCACAGGATTACAGCGCTGTTTAGATGAATTATTGCTCCTTAATTCCTCATGCAGTCTCATCGAATTTAAAAAAACACTACGATGTTGATGTAAACCATAACTATTGTTTCTCAGAAATCGTGCAATTTTCCATTCAGGTCGCAAATTCAGATATGCTGTATCGTGTCTTCCTTGTGTGATCTATATAAAAATAATTTTCCTTGTGTGGAATTTAATAAGGTTCAAGACAATCATAAAATTATTTGCATTGCTTTGCTTGTTTTAACTTTTTGTCTTAAAACGTTGATCCAGAAGAGTTTTGTCCAGCGTACTATGTTGTATACACTGTACTTTAGATTGTTTTGCATATGCATTTTGCACCTTCTCTCTGCAGACCACCTCATACATTTACATCAGCTGTGATGTGAGTGGTAAGATTGCCACCGTTACTGCCTTGCTGTTTTTTTTTGATAAATTTGTCTCACTGTAATATGATTTTCATCTCACAGCAGATGGTGCATTCCACATGGATGAAGACCCTGTACAAGAGCCAAGTGAGTAGCCTTATAACAGTCATTTTATAATTTGCATAGATCTGCAAAAATATAACACAAGGTATTTTTTGTGTTATCTCGCTGTTATATGATTTTCATCTCACAGCAGTGTACATGGACAAGAGCCCTGCTCATGAGCCAAGGAAGTCACGTTATAGATATGTTATAAGGGACAGTTCATTATTTATGGAGATGACCAGGTTGAAAATCAGAAATAACTTTTTTTTTCCTGATGCCTGTCATAGTATCATATCAAAATTTCAAAACCCATTTTGGTTTGTTCTAAAACTTTTCAAAGCCGGGTCAATGGAAATAGTATTGTAGAAGCTGACATAAAATAGACATGTAGTAACAATGTGAAGTCATTTTATGTATTTCAGCTTGTGTAAATGAACAGTTTTCCATTAAAAAGGCTATAAGCAATGTTACAAGGCAACAGTACATTATCTGTGGAAAATTTGTATTTTGGTCAGACACAGCTATCAAAAAGCATGGCAAAATGCCTGATGATGGAGATTCTTTTTATATAACACTCTTGATAAGATGTAATAATCCATGAACCAATAGAAGTCAATTGATCTTTAATTAAAAATTAAATGGAAACATTGAATACCGGGTAATTCAAGGTTCAACGCAAAAACTCAACAACGGTATTTACAAATCATTTCACTGCAGCACCATGGCTTTACGTACAATATACACTTGCCTGCAAGCATGTGCAAAATGTTGAAAATTGTATTTTCCTGTGTGGTAATACAGTTAATAACTTGTAACTATCTGTATAACTTAACCTTTTTGTTGCTATATTCTCTGTATCATTACACTCAATTTGCAACTTGCACATTTGCATACAATCTAAACTTTGCCAAATATGGGCATATTTTTTTTTCCACAGTAAAAAATGTAAACAAAGTGTTCATTTCAAAGTTGAGACAGTGTTTAGAGACATTTTCATGTACTGAAACCCGAAACAAACAAACAAAACAGCCTCTGAAATAGACAAAATGAAAATCAGAAGCAAGCTAAACCGCCTGGTTTTCTGAATACTCTGGTTTTCTTGCGGTTTAAAAGCTCTCAATTTGCTGGGTAGGCAACACTAATCAGTCATTTCTTTCACTTATTGTTTTCAATATGCTTGACATTTTTTCAAGATACAAATATACAACGGTGGTATGTTTGTTAGCCTTTAAGCCTTTCTACCTGAAAAATACGATAATTTGTTCAATTTCCAATAAAAGGGTCATAAAAGCTTGATCTGATGACACATGTAACTGCAGTGCACGAACATTTATGGATTACTAGGTAAACTTTGAAGTGGTCTTATGTTTCAGTAAAGAAGGGTTTATTATTTTTCGGAACCTGGTCGTTTGGATCTCCAAAAATTTAGTAGCCCATCAATTAGGAACAAATATTTTTCATGGCCTGGTCACGTTTTTTCTGACCCAGTCATCCCTATAAATAATAAACCATCGCTAGGCATTAAAACATATTTGAAAAAATAATTACAATGTCACAAAAATGGAACTTGTATTTCGTTTTGATATGCCCCACTGTTGATTTGATTTTCATCTTACAGCAGATAGTACATTCCACATGGAAGAAGCCCCTGAACATGAACCAAGTAAGTAGCCTGATAATGAACATTTTATAATTAACACATCTGCAAGAATGTTACAATGATACAAAAATGGGACTTGTATTATTTTTAGTTTTTTTTTGTTTTTTCTCACTGTTAATATGATTTTCATCTTACCGCAGATGGTGTATTCCACATGGAAGAAGCCCCTGAACATGAACCAAGTAAGAAGCCTGATAATGGACATTTTATAATTAACACATCTGCAAGGATATTGCAATGATACAAGAATGGGACTTT